ACACACACACACACACACACAGTGGTCCTGCAGCTCCCTCACGTACACGGTGCAGTCACAGTGAGGACAGCTCAGGAGACGGTCGACCCTCAGACAACTGTTACCTCCTCCACTGAAGTCCCAGTAAGTGTCTCTCATGTTTCCACTAAGTCAGCTGCCATTTTATTTGTTTATTTGTCCTCGGAAAACTTCCTCTACCCGCGGAGCGAGAGTTAGTGAACAAACTCTCTCTCTCTGTGCCATGTCACAGCGCTCACAGCTTCTAGGTTACGGTTCATGTCGGTTCTCTGTCGGTAACAGACGCAGTTTAGATACAGTGTTAAAACCCCAGACTGTGTATTAAAGGTTAAACACTTGAAACCACGTGTATTTTAGCTTCTGTCTCTGTGGCAGTGAGCTCTCTGCCTCCTCTTCGCTGTCTCAGACTTTGTTCGTACGCACATTCTTCCGTAAGTGTTCACCCGGTGGTCAGGTGCCCGGCTCACCGCTGTAACACTGTGAAGTCCCCCTCGTGTAGATTATCCATTGAAATGTCCCTGCACAGTGGACCTAAAGTGAAAATGACTGGGACATAGTCTCTTTCAAACCCTTTCACTCACCTCTACGATTGCTTACTAAAAAAGATTTCTTGATTTGAAAATACATCCATGGAAAGTAGTTTGATAAAAACTTTAATCGAGTTTTACACTTTCATTTAAAGATCTTGAAACGTCCAGAAGGAGGAATCAGTACAAGTAGAAACCTTTGTCAGTGTTCCTGTCAGGGACCTGGTGATATTTTAAAGGTCCAGTGTGTAAGATTTAGGTGAAAGGGATATTGGCAGACATTGAATATAAATTAATCCTAGCAATGTTTGAATTAGTGTGTAATAATCTAAATTGTACAAATGGTTGTTTCTTTACCCTGGAATTGTCCCTTTATATTGACATACTTTATATTTACATCGGAAAGGGGCCCTCTCTACATGTTTTTTACAGTTGTGGAAAAACTAAACACCTTTTGAGTTTTCATAAAAATGTAAGTGTAGGTATTTTTTAAGTTTGGAAGGGGAGGGTAAGGTGAGGGTCATTCAGCTGCAACATGTAAATTCACCACTCAATTCTACACACTGAGCCTTTAAAAGAGCCAAACTGAAGGACCTCCCGGATCAACTCTCATGGCTCCAAGAGAAGTAGTGGAATGTCATTATTTCACTTCTTATAAATGATTGTCAGGAAGACAGTCGTCATCACAGCGTCCATGCTTCAACTTATTGGGGGAACTTTAAAAGTCTCCCCACAGTCCCTATGACTCTTTACCCTGAGTGACGGAGCTAATGCAAAAACACTGCGTGTATTGTTTGCTAAAATTATGCAAGAATCAAAATTGATTCTAATTTGGATGAGGGTTGATGATGATGCAAAACAATATGAAGGTTCGATTGTTTTCAGATTAACGTTACAAAGACTCTTATGTCTCATGGTTCCTTGTTATGGGACACAAAGTTAATGTGGACAGTTCAATATATGTTACTATGGTGAGCTGTACTAACATATGTCTGTGGTAAAACTAACAAGAAGCAGTGTGGAAGGCACATATTCAATGGAGGCAACATCCAGTCCGAGTACTTTTGAAGTCCATTTGTGGTTTACAAGAAAAAGCAACTCTTAGTCACTTAAAGCTTTCATACCCCTCGACTTTTGGGTTAGACGCAATGTTCGGTCTCCATCAGCATTCAGATGGCCATGTATTCAGCAGCTGCTTGTTGTGACTGTGAACTGCAGTTTATCACCGAATTACATCTTCTTTAAACGCTCGTACAGCCACATGCTGTCTTTTGAAAAGCTGTAGTAGAGCGTTGTAGGTGAGCTGACAATTATTCCAATTTCTGTTTATTATAAAATATATACTTTGGTTTTTGGAACATTGGTTTGCTTCTGATAACTTGTAAGAGGCCTCATTCTTTTTTGTATATGTTATAATAATTAAACAGATGAGCACTGATATTCAGGTTAAAGCCACATGTGCTCTGTTTAGCCATGCTACAGATGCTTCATCATTTCCACTGGGTGGTGGGAAGATAGTGGGCACTGAGCACCAGTGTGGGGGATTTCCCCCCTCTGTGTCATATGGTATTAGAGTCCCATTGATGGGAAATCCCGTTCATCCCTGCAGAATTCGTCAAAGCTTAAACTCTTGAAGGATTGTCTAGACCACAGCTTTTGCATGACCCAAATGATGAAAAACATTTATACAGATAAAAAATAATCAGATAATAAAAAAATAATCATTGCTTCCAGCACTGGCCCTCTCGCAGGAAAGCAGTAAAGTTGAATTTACACAAGTAGCTGCTTGTAGAAATGTATGTATGGTGAAACTTCCTCATTATTTCTGTTTAGTCACAAACACAGCTGTAGACTACATCCTCTGCAGAGGGATGGATGACATCGTAGCAGATGTTTAAAGCAGGATGCTGACATGGTATTAAGGGTTTAGTACCAAGACGATGTCGGCAGGATCATGCCAGCACGACGACCTCACAGATGGCACAGTGAATTTTATATGATCGGAGGTTGTACTTGGAGGTTGGCACATGGCCTGGTGTTTTCCTGTACAACAGGGCTGTAGTTGATCCATGCTGCGTCCATTCCAGACATAGTCGGTGCCATCACCCTCTCAAGCTGTCTTCACAATCATCTCGGTTGCCCCACACTTCTGAATTGCTCTTTTTACAGCAAACAAGCAACGATTTCAATGGAACACCTCAGTATAAGAGGTCTTTGATTGTGTGATGGTGATCACACCTTTGCCAAACCACAGGGAGAAAGATCAGGGGTCGATGAAGGGAAAAAAACATGGCCGTGTGAGGTCACAGAGTTTGGAAAGTTCAGATGACTCATTTGCTCAAGCCTCTTCTGGCCTTTCTTTCTTGCCCCAATCCAAATAAACTACATTGTTTCTAATACCACTGTAGCTCTTATCCAAGGTTACAGCGACACTGTACCTTGGAAGGGCCGTTTGGCTCGGATTTAAATTTCCATAGCACTTTCCGTCTTTATTTGCATTTTGGAAGAGTGTTGTCTTTCACTTTCAGGGAGCCCAGTGCATTTAGGTTTTTCTTGGTAGACAGAGGAAGAAATGAATCTTTAAAGTAGCAGTTTATCTGCATGGAAGTTCTGCAAAAATCATTTGGCTGTATTAATGTATTTGTGGTTTGGACTGGCTCTGCTCCCAACCTCAGTGTGTTACTTAGCTGCTTCAGTATAAATTGGGCTGGGCCTGTTAGCCTCTTTAATTTGATTTCAGAAAAATATAATAAGTAGCACTAAAGCATTTCAGGGGTTGTTCTCACATGGTCAGGGCTCATTCAGCAAACAATGGTAGTCATAACTAAGCCTTTTTTAATCGGCACTGCTGTTCACTATCTAGACATAAAGACCAACAATCTCCTTTTAGGATTATCTACTTTGCAGGGGTATGTGCTGTGTGGTTTGGGCTTTGTGCTGTTTTCGGTTTTGAAAACATGAATTTTATAGTGGTATTTAGGTTATTGAGTGAATTTAACAGCCTAGTATAAGTCATTATTAACATTACTATCAACATCATCTGTCTGTTAATAACCTCTACAGATACTGTGTCGTCCACACAAAGCTTAAACCCAGCCAAGTCTGTTGGATGGGAAAGATATATACAGTATTTATTCGTTTATATTTGTTGCACTAATAGAAGTATTGGTGTTGTGATATTACTTAAGGAATCCTAATGTCATCAGAAGCTGCTGATGGACAGAAAATAAAATAAAATTATAAGAAAACAAACATCTCCTGGTGAAAAAAGACACAAAGATGTCAGAGTCACATGATCTACGCAGCTAAGCAGTTGTGTGTACACGTAAGAAGAGTGATGTGGTGAAACGATGACGTCTCAGCTTCACACATGCTCACTGGTCACTCAAAAGTTATTTACTGATTAATAAAACAAACTAGTCCTTGTTGAAAGAAGACAGCTGACAAGTGACTTATTTTGTAATCACTAAACATTACTTTACATAACTTTACTTCACCAGCCAGTTCTTGTTCTGACTAGATAACACAGTATTTGTTTTCAGTTTCGATCAAATCGCTGCATAAACAAAAAATCTACAGTTTTAAAAAAGTACTTCTGTGATCCTTCAAAATAAAGTTTTTGAAGAAAATACATTTAATCTAAATACACAACATGATAGGCTTTGGGAAGAACCTACAGCTGGGATGTTTAAAGACAGAGAGAGAGGAGAACAGCTTGTCATCTGTTTCACAGGGAGTTGTCTTCATGGGATATTTTCAGCCTCTGAAATAACCACAATGGCTGGTTATATTTTCAGTTCTTCTCTGAGGGAAAATGTCTGGTTGTGGTAAATATTTTCTCTGGACTTATGGACCATGTTGCCAGAGAGGTTTCATAATGTCCCTCCATTGTACTGAAGTGTGGGAGGGTGCTGGCCTGCAGGTGTTTTCCCTAAGGAAAGTGTTACTCAGAGAATGCAGCCATATGGGTATACACACACACACACACACACACACACACACAGTTAAAAATGTGTCAGACAGCAACTGACATACTACTTCCCAATACTATTTTGTCTGTTATGCGATCATTTTGTTGTTGCTTTATTTTTGTCTTAATCATTTTGTAAAGCGTTTATTAACTTTGTTAAACTTTACAAATAAAGCTGATTAAAATATAATTATTACATGAAATCAGACCTGTTTAGTATAGCTGGAATATGGTCATAAATGAGCTACACTTTTGTATATTTGGTTTGAAGTTTAATAATTTAATAAAATGGACTGTAAAAAAAGACATGTGTCGCCAATACCCGTTGCTGCTAATAAATTCGCAGTTGCCTAGTTTCCCCTCTTCTTGTGATGACAATAGCAAACCTAACCACATGAGCTGTCATGGACTCCAGACAGTCATCATGACTAAACCACCAGCCACTTTGTGGTCTTCCCTCCAATCTGTCTCATTCAGGTGGTCCCTCTTGTTTGTCAAGAATAAACAGCAAATGTGCCTTCAAACCCGACAATACAATACAAAAAAACTAAATTCTACAACAACAAGCCCAATGTTTGTCTTTCAGACATACAATAGAGCAGTTTGGGATTCGTAAGACTGGAGAAATGTGCCCTAGCTCTATTTTGTGTCTCTGTCCATGTTGTGTCTGTCTTCTCTTTTCATCGTACTTATTTCTATCTGACATTTAACCTTCACGTTTTGTTTACTTCTGTCCTCCAGAATCACAACCATGGGGAAAGGATGCATCACAGTCACCAAGTATTTTCTGTTCCTCTTCAACCTCCTCTTCTTTGTAAGTAAACTAACTTCTTCATCCCTGTTTAGTGGCCATCTTGCAACACTGCTCATAGCATTACTTCCACTTCTCCAGCAGCATTGTTTACCCACAATAAAAAGACATTGTAGTACACAATGTATATACTGTAAAGTCTATCCCATTGTGTATGTGTACATTGTATGTTTATGTTTAACTAGTTAGCCACTTCCTGCAAAGACACTGCTCTACTCTTCACCACTGTCTGCTCAGCTGTGTACTCTGTTACATGTGCTGCAGACAAAGCTGAGAGTATTGTCTGCAATCGATTCCGTTTTGCTGGACAAACTATATGATGACAAAATTACATTACACCAAGCATCATTTTCTGCATTATGTTCTGTAAAAATAAATTTTCATATCAACATATATTGGACAGTTTAAACGCAGATATCACAATATCTGTGATCAGCCATCTGATATATCAGTCAACATTCATGACGCATTGAGAGCTGTGTGGGGCTCTGCAGGTTTTTATTTGAATATTCAAATATCACCAGAGATTAGTTGAGATACATAGGGAAATGTTACTGCAGCTCTGCCTGGGGTGAGGGACATTACTGAGTTCCTCAACACAACCAGGTCTAAACAGCTGCAAATGGTTTGTTTTCTCCTCTTTACATCGGCCACAGCATAAAGTCCAGGGATTGATAAAACCCCAGACTCCTAAAACCAACTGCGAGGATGTCCAGACCTTTCCAATGAGTGTGCGGCTGTAAACCTGATGCAGACCTTTTGATGTGAACGCTCAACTGGTGTCTAAGAGGAAGCATGTGTGTCTGTGTCAGTCAGTTTGTCCATGTGGACACATTAGACTAGGGGAGGCTCGGGGGAAGCCAGGAAGTGGTGGGCTAATGATGGCTGCCGGGAGCTCAACAGGCCCTGTAAATGAGCAGTTCTTAACCAGGGCTCTAATTACTGTTGTAGATTTGGGGCAGGGGCAGCAAAATAAGGGGGAAGCTGGTGAATCAACAAAGTCTCTCAACTATGAATTTTGCTCCCTCTTCAGTGCCCCACAACTTCCACCCGAGTAACCTCTCAATTATGTAAAAGTCCTGAACTTCATAACCTCATTACAATAGCACAAAAGGTAAAGCTGATCATTTTCAGACGCTAGTGACAAAATGTCCCAGTGATCATGATTCTTCTCATTTCAAATAGTCTTGACCGGGTTATCCTCACTGAGCACCACTGGGGTGTTAAATTTGATGAAAGCCAGCAAAGTGGAGATTAGAGAAAGTTGGGCTGCTGAAGGCTGAAGAGATCTGCATGTTGTGATATTATCCACATCCTCTTTCTATTCGTATCTGCTGTGAGAGAGAGAGCGACAAGAAGACAAAAAGACAGAGTTAAGATCAGATTAATCTCAGATGTGACAGACTGAGGATTCAGAAATAAACCTCAGTGTTTCAGACGTCCAGCAAAGATTTTGTGTTTTACTCACATGAGATTTGGTGCCTGATTTTTGTTTGTTTCATCCTCCACAGATCTTCGGAGCCTTGATCATGGGCTTTGGACTCTGGGTTCTCTTTGATAATCAGAGCTTCATTGCTGTGCTGCGTAAGTGTTTGTAACACTCACTGAGACACACACACACACACACACACACACACACACACACACACACACCTCTGCTGTTCTGCTGCCACATCCTTTACTGATAACACTCACTTCAAGAGACATTCAGCACTTTTGACACAGCGAGCCCCAGCTCAGTGAAGTGAAAATAGAGATTGCAGAGTGTGGTTGTCAAATCCTAAAAGCCCAGACCTACTTTGTGCAGTTTATGTGATTTTTATCCCCTAGGACTAATTCCTGGAAAGGATGTTTGCAACAAACCAAAAACATGACTCACAGAGAAATTTGATGACTTCTTCAGCCTCTCAAAAACTGCCCTGTGGACACACATACATATATTGAGATCCATGGGAATGGGTTTGTCAGGGGAGTGGAGAGTCTATCGATTATCAAGGCGTTCAAGCTGTTTCATCTTATGCTGGAAAACAGCAGGTTTATTTCCCCCCAGTTTCCACAGAGTCATACTTTGAGCATGCATGTTCTCTCAATTCCACAGATGGTGGAGACGCACATATAGAATCTCCCACCCTCACAGATGTTGCCACAGATCTATTTGTAGACACGGTTTCGTTAGAGAGACAGCAAGACTCCTACGATATCCTGCTGAAAGAGGCAAAGTTATCAGTTTTGTAATAGAAAGTTTTGTAATAGAAAGCAATGTGTCTCTCTAACGTTATTTATCGTGAAGAGAAAATGCCATGAAACCCAGTTCCAGCCCTGCCTGAAAAGAACAGGGAACCAAGGATGGAAACTCTTAGTTGCCATAAATCTTGTTATGAATGCTTTCAGTGTATTCTTCCCAGATGGAGATTTGCTGAGGCGAGCGGAGAAGTTTTCTCCCAGTTTCTAAAGAAGAGTTCCTTCAGTTTATTATCTCACAACTTTGTACTTGTTGGAAGTCAATTATTACTTTTTTCTCCGCCCTATAAGAGATGAACTTGATGTGGATCACAAAGCTAGTAGTACTAAATTAGTTAACACATTCAGATCCACTTCAGATCTGGTTATTACCTGCATCACTGTGGAAATGAGAGTGAGAGTTACTGCTCTTAAGTAGACACCATCTGAACAAAAATGTATTGTGCTTTTTTTGAGCTGATATCAA